GCCATCTGTGCTGTAGCTGCCCAGTGCTGGGCTGGGTCCTGAGGGGGAGAGGGGAAGGAGAGGTCTTTCTGCCCTGGGGGGGGGGGCTGCTCCTGCAGAACAGAGCCTTGTGACATCCCCCCATCAGTCCCCATCTGCAGGGAGGGGTGGGGGCAGTGTCTCAACTGCCTGCCTGGAGTAGGAATGAAACCTCACTGTTCTAGAAGGAGGGCAGGAAAACCTCTATGGGGAGCTGCTCCCAGCCCCTCTCATAATCCCAGTCCCCATCAGTCACCTGCCTGTCCTGTGAGCAGGGCTGGGTTCTCAGGGCCTGACTGGGTGGGGGGCACCCAGTGACCCCCCCCTACTCCCCTGTCTCCATAGGTAGACAGCCCCAGTGGTGAGGTCTGGGGCCGCCAGGGGTGGGGGGCAGAGCTGGGTCCCACATATCCCAGAACAGGAGTGGGAAGCCACCTGCGTCACCTTGGCCCCCACCGCCTGCTCCCCAGGCTCAGATGGCTGTCCTGGCTGCCCAGTGCGGTCTCACGCTAAAGCAGACCCAACACTGGTTCCGGAGACGTCAGAACCAGGACCGGCCTTGCCTGACCAAGAAGTTCTGTGAGGCCAGGTCAGCCCGGGGCGGAGCTGGGGAGGGGGTGCCGGGAGTGCAGGGAGAGGCGTCCGCTGTGGTGGCAGCTGTCTCACGGGCTCCCTCCCCATCTGCAGCTGGAGGTTTGTCTTCTATCTGTGTTCCTTCTTTGGTGGCCTCTCGGTCCTCTACCACGTGAGTGTTCCTGGCTGCTTCCTGGGCCCTCCACCTGTCCCACAAGCACCTACTGTGCACCAGGCCTGGCTCGGGGTGGGGGTGTGGAGGGGTGCAGAGTGTGTGCACAGAGAAGGCAGAGAATGTGGCCAGGTCGTGGCGGATGTTCCCCCCTGAACTTGGGGCTGGGGATCCGGCGGTGAGCCAGCCCCTGGTCTCCGGTGAGAGCGGGGATGTCACCAGGCGACAAAGAGCAGAGCTGAGGCAGCGCCTGGAGGACTGGAGAAACCCAAGGAGCCCCCCGCGGGCGCGCTCATGCCTCAATGCCTGTGTCCCTGCAGGAGTCCTGGCTGTGGAAGCCGGCAATGTGCTGGGACAATTACCCAAACCAGGTGAGCGGGGTGGGGCAGAGGCTGGAAGGAGGTCTGGGGTGGTCAGAGTTCCTGTGGCCAGAGGTAGCAGAGCCAAACCTGGACGTGACATCGTAATTCCCCTCCGAGTCCTGCTCTGTGTCTGCCTCCCTGCGGAACGGAGAGCGGGGCCAGGAGTCAGCAAACCTGGAGGAGGCACTGCCACAACATCACTGCCCTTGGCCACCTCTAGGGATGGGGAGCTCACACCTTCTTTGCTCATCGGGATTCAAGCGTCCTGATTTTGAGCAAATCGGGGAGGGCCCTGAGCCATGCCGGGCCCCCACCGACCCTGCCCCACCTCCCTGCTGCAGCCCCTGAAGCCAGCTCTGTACTGCTGGTACCTCCTGGAGCTGAGCTTCTACATCTCGCTGCTGATGACGCTGCCCTTCGACGTCCGGCGCAAGGTGAGGCCCGGCCGAGTCCCGCTAGGGAAGTGATGTCCTGGGGGAGTCGGGTCCCAGGCTCGGGTGGGGAGGGATAGCCTCACCCCACACCTGGCAGTCCCTTGGCGCCTCAGGCAGGAAGCATGGAGTCTGCTGGGTCCAGATGCCAACCAATCCCCTGAGAGGGCCTGCTCCCAGCCCTGGGGGCCCCACCAGCCAGCCACCCAGCCTTGTCCCAGCTGCGACCCATCATCTCCCGCAGGATTTCAAGGAGCAGGTGGCACACCACGTGGTGACCATCACCCTCATCACCTTCTCCTACAGCGCCAACCTGCTGCGCATCGGCTCTCTGGTGCTGCTGCTGCACGACTCTGCGGACTACCTGTTGGAGGTGGGCCAGGCCACACCCCTCCCGGCTGCCCTCCCCCCTCCCACACGGCCCTGGGGCTGAGGCCCCCCCCCTCAGCTTTCCTGGAAGAGGAGACCCCACCCTACTCGGGCTCCCTGGGAGACTGCCCCTCTCTATCTTCATGGGAGGTGAGGCCACGCTTCCTCTTCTCTTGCAGAGATGAAGCTTCGCACACACATCCACTTTGTACCTTTCTAGACAATCCCTGGAGATAAGGCCCAGTCCCATGACCCCTTTTCCTTAAGGCGAGGCCCCTCCCCACCTGCTGCCCCGCCCCTACCGCCCACCTGAGTCCCTTTCTGCCACCTGAGTCCGTTTCTGCCGCCCTCGCAGGCCGGTAAGATGTTCAACTATGCACAGCAGCAGCGAGTGTGCAACTCTCTCTTCATCGTCTTCTCCATGATCTTCTTCTACACTCGCCTCGTGCTCTTCCCCACCCAGTGAGTCCAGTGCGGGGGCTGGGAAGGTGGGCACGCACATCTGTGATCCCGCCTGCCTCACCCTTGGTTCCAGAACCAGGGGGCAGGGGATGTTGTCTGGGAGGCATCCAGGAAGAGGCAAGGAAGGGTACTGAGTCTCCAGCCCAGGGTACGGCATAGGCAAAGGACCAGAGGTTCGAGAGACGGACCTGAGCTCAGTCCTCATGCCCCTGTGTGCCTGGAACGTGGTCAGGCACCAGCTCACTAAAGCCTTTTTTTTTTTTTTCCCCCACTAAAGTCTTTACCCACTCTATTTGCTGAGCCTCTCACTGCAGAGGGAGCTACGTGAAGATCCCTGCTCACAAGGAGCTGACATGGGGCGGGGGGATAAAATAAAGCAAACAAGTAGAATATTGAGCATGCAAGGGAGTGACTGTATTAAAAGATCAGGCACCAGAAGTGTGTGGGTAGTTGGGTTTAGGTCTGTCAGGGAAGGCACCACTGACAGCGTTGGTTCAGAAAGACTGGAGGGAAGTGAGGGAGAAAACTGTTCTGATCCCAGCAGAAGAGCCTTCCAGGCAGAGGGAACAGCACATGCAAAGCCCCTGAGGCTGGACAGTGCCCTGCATGTTGGAAGAACAGAGGGGAGGCCTGTGTGGCAGGATCAGAGTGAGCTAGGGGGAGAGAGGGGGGAGCTGAGAACAGGAAGGAGACCAGGTAGGTGGTGCAAGGCCTTATGGCCTGCGGGGAGGGCTTGGGTTTTTATCCAAATGAAGTGGAGGGTTCTGAGCAGAGGAGGGGCAGACCTGACTTGGTTGCTCACAGGCGCCCTCTGGTGGCTGCAGAGAGAATTAGTGAGAGCCCACCTCCCGCTCAAGACTAGGGCAGAGATTGCTCTGGTCTGGTGCAGGTGAGAGAAATGAGTGGACTCAGAAGTGGGGGATGACTCAAGGGTCGTGAGATGGTAATGAGCTCAGCGTTGCTCCTTGAGGATCAGGAGCTCAGCTCTGGCCGTGCTAGGTTTGAAGGGCCTACAGCCCACCCCATCCCCAACAGTCATGGAGGAAGCGGTGGGCACCCCAGCGTGGGGTTCCAGGGAGAGATGCGGTGTCCAGTGTTTGCAGCCACAAGACTGGACAGCATCACCTGTCCAAGTGCAGACAGAGAGGCCCAGTCCTGGGGCCCCTGATGTTTTCAGATCGGGGGTGGGGGCTTGGGGGGCCACCGCAGAGGAGCCGCAGAGAGAGCAGCCATAAAGTGGAGAGACAGGAGGGTGGTCCCTGAAGGCACGTGAGGAAAGGGTGTCAGGAAGGGCCAGCCGAGTGCCTGCTGCCTGAGCCAGGCAGATCACTGGTGACCTTACAGCTGACCTGGGTGAGGGTGGCAGGGGGTGAGAGCCTGCTGGGTAGGGGGAGAAGGGCATCTGAGGAGAGAAGGTCTGAAAGGACCACCCAGGAAAGCAGCTGCCCCCTAGAGGTTCGTGGTTGTGCAAGGCCAGCCAGCAAGCTCCTGGTCCTCCTCATGACTGTTAACATGACCACGTGAGGGGGCATTTAAATGCCCAGCTGAAGAGCACAGGTATTACTCTGGGGGTTGTGGGGAGCCATTGAAGGTTCCGGAGCAGAGAAGGTCACTCAAGTTAGAGCTTGCTAGGCCGGGGCGCTAGAGTAGCTGGCGAAGCCCCACCTCGCCTTCCTGCCCGCCTCAGGATCCTCTACACCACGTACTACGATTCCATCGCCAACTCCGGTCCCTTCTTTGGCTATTACTTCTTCAACTCGCTGCTGACGCTGCTGCAGCTGCTGCACGTGTTTTGGTCTTTCCTCGTCCTTCGCATGCTCCACAGCTTCACAAAGAAAGGCCAGGTAGGGCCCAGCAAGGGTGGGCTCGCGGGCGCCTCCCCAGAGCCCCAGCCCAGCTCACCCTCCGCCTCATCCCCACTCCTTGTCCCCCAGCTAGAGAATGACATTCGCAGCGACATGGAGGAGTCAGACTCCAGCGAAGGGGAGGCAGCCCAGGAGTGTCTGCGGCTGAAGAACGGGGCAGCTCCGGGGTCCGGGGCAGCCCCTGCTGATGGCCCTCGGAGCCGGGCAGCCAGGCAGCTGCCCAATGGGCACATGTCAGCCACGTAGCTGGCCAAGGATTGGCTGTGAGGGGCCGCCCCCAGCGCCTTGGATTTGTGGGGAGGCTGGACCGGCGGCCCTTGGCCCAGGCCGTGGGGAAGGCTGATGATCTGTCTCCAGCTCCTACCTTCTGCCCACCCTCTCTCCTTCCCTTGGGCCAGTGGACAGAGCTGGGGCAGTGGGCAGCAGCAGGGTGCTGCGCCTCGCCAGAGCTACCTCCAGGTTGCATCCTGGGAACTGTTAAGAGCCCCAGGCTGAAAGGGGTCCAATAAAACTTGAATGGAGCCACATTCTCTGCCTGAGTGTTTGTGTCCCTGTCATAGCTCATCGGAGGCCCCAAGGAAACCAGGACTCTGCTTACATACCCCACGGATGGGATACTCACCGCCACCCTGAGACACGCGCCCAGTCCCAGGGGGTCCAGACAGCATGAGGCCCTGATCCCCAGCCAACGCCTTAGCCAAGCCGCCTCCTTCCAGCTTTCAGCCAGCTGCTCACAGACCCAGCTTACAGATGAGAAGGCAGCAGACCTGGTCCAAGGTCACGGAGATGAGAGGGGAGGCTCATGCCTGTCCTCACGGCTCCCGCTCAAGATGGGCTGAACCCCGCCCTCCTGGTCCTGGGGCCTCCCTGGAGACAGTGAAATAGGGCCTGGGGGGGCGGGCATTCCCACCGGCTTCCCAAGGATCAGCCTGGGTGTGGTCACTGTCTATCTCTTCAGAAACATTATGGAAGGTGTCCCTTGCCTCCCCAGCTGAGACAGGCTGAAGGGACTATGTCCCATACCCCAGAAATCACAGCCACAAGGCCCTACGCAGGGCCAGGACGTGCTGCCTTCAGGGGAACAAAAGGAAGAGGTGAGTTATAGAAAAGAGAGAAATAGGAGACGGCAGAGGACACGGGCACTGCGGGAGGACACGGGGGAGAGGAAGTGTGTTCGAGACAGGACAGATCGTGAGATAGAAAACAGGGCCCATCTGAGAGACAATAATCAGCTTGGAGCCCGGGCAGGTGAGGGGAGCAGGAGAGGTGAGGGAGGGTGGACGTGTTGAGACCGGCTGAAGGACAACGGGGAGCGAGAGAAGGGGAAAGGGGGTGGGGACACGGGGCCGGGAGGGAAACGGTCTCTACTTTGTCTCCGAGAGGTGAGGATGGAGGGAGAGGAAGGAAGAGGGAAGAGAAAGGTGTTCGAGACGCTGAGAAGGAGGGACTAGGAAGACAGGAAAGAACCAAGAGCACAGGGGACAGACAGGTGGCGGGGGGGTGACAGCAAACAGGAGAAGGGAACGGAGGGCGTTGGGGAGATGGGAAGGGGCGCTGGAGAGAAAGCAGAGCCAAGTGGCTTTAGTCCTGAGAGACTCAGGTTGAGGAGAAGAGAAGAAACAAGCAAAGAAAGCTGGGAAGGACTGGCCACCGATACGGATGGAAACTCAGGACGGGGTGGTGGTCTGGAAGCCACGAAAAGAAACTTTTTCAAGACGGAGACAGCTCCTGATACTTCCACAGGAGCAGCCAGTTATGCCTTGTGATCAAAAACCAGAGTAATCGAACAGGAATCATAGTAAAGGTGAAAGACGGGAGAATAAAAAATGGAGGAGAAAAAGAAGAAGAGGATGTAGAAACTGGAAAAGGAACGAGAGGAAGAAGGGGACAAAAAATGGAAGAGGAGGAAGAATATCCAAAGGAAAGATAAGTCAATGAACCCCTACGGACACTCTGGGCAACATCTGAGTTAAACAAACGACCCGCAAAAGGAGATAGTCTATCGTTTGCTTTGAATTTGACAGGACAGAAAAACAGATGATAGTTTTTTTAAAAAAGAAATTAAAGAAATATAAGAAAAGGAACAAGCGAAACACGTGATTAAAAGGAGTTAAGAACATCAATGTTTTTAACAGCTGTATATAGAATTTTATATATTTGTGTATGTTTATATACAAATCCTTATGTATCACCTCACTGTCACTCTAAACCATGAGGGAACTGAGTGATTTCATCGACAACTGCGAGTTCCTAAATAGCCAAGCCTGAATTTGCACTTCCATCTCTCAGCTGTAAATGCCGTGTTTTCAGTTGTAACCTGGGAAATGGTCCAGGCTACATCGATGTGTGTTGCACATGTAATGTTTAGATACTCTCAGTTTTCTCTCTTAAAATTCCTATTGAAAATATTTCAATTATCTTCTTGTACCTTCGCCTCCGTAACTTCCTTACCTCTTTGAAATTTTTAAATGTGTTTCGGGAAGCTCCTTCTTGTCCTTCAGTGGAAACCGTCTTCAGACCTTAACATATTTTGATACATATTAAATACATGACTCTGTTAAGAAACCAAAAAAAAAAAGAAAAAAAAGAAAAGAAAAAACAGCTGAGGGGAGAGAGAGAGCGGATCAGAGCTTGGAAAGATGAGGTGTCAGAGGAAGGACTCGGGAGAAGATAGAAAGACCCGAAAGGAAGAAAGGGAGAGAGAGGAGAATAACAAAAAAGAACCAAGGCAGCATGAGGGTTGTTATCTAGGACGAACGTGAAGGAATAAATCTTAAGAGAGAAGCAGATCCCGAGAGGATGGCGGCATGAAGAGATGAACAGGTTGCTCAGAGGGGAAAGATGCAACTGGCCTTGAAACAAATCAGCAAGATGCTCCACATAAAAAAAAGTGTGAACGAAAATTCTTGACAGCGATCCTGGCAAAAATAGTGGTGGTGGCGCCCTCTGCTGGTGATATTTGCAGGGACAATGGCCTTGTCACGGTAGTAACTGGAAGTATAAATGCATTTCTTCTTTATCCCTAAAGAGACACGCAGATCTCCTTAGTACACATAAAAATCAGTAAGGAAAGGACAACCAACCTAAAAAGAAAATGGAAAAAAGAGACACTATGCACAGATACAGAAGAGGAGACACGGTCCATAAACATAAAGACGCATTCGATCTCATTCATAACCGGGAAAATTCCAAGCAAGACTGTGAGATGCCGTGAACACTAACTTGCCTGGCAAAGATAAAGAAATTGGACAAAGCGAGTGCTGGAGGAGATGGGGGTCAATAACAATCACATATTACTGGGGAGAGTGTAAGCTGGTACAATCATTTACAACCAGTTGGCAGCATGTAAAATTGTTGACCATTTTATAAAGTTCAAAAGCAACTCAAACAAAATGATTTATTATTTAGGCATGAACATCTGTCTAGCAAAACTACGGTAGACCTCCAGCAGATGCCTGAAACCAGGAATTGCACCAAACTCTATATGTACTGTTTTATTGATTTCTGGAATTTTCCATTTAAAATTTTTGGACCATAATCGACCACTGGTAACTGAAACCATGGAAAGCAAAACCACAGATTAGGGGCTACTATTGTAATTCTTTAACAAACAAAATAAAACACAAAATTTAAAAGAGCGATATATTACTTTTGATTGTGGGGGGAGGGGGCTTCAGGTAGATATAAATACTGTCACTGTTCTAGCTTTTGAGGTTGTGAATGTGGGGAAGGATACTCATATTATTAATAAGTACAATTGAAAAAGGATACGCAAAAAGACAGCCCGCAGCATGGGAGAAAGTATTTGCATATATCTGAAAAGGGCCTAGAACCCAAAACATGTAAAGAACATTTACAACTCAATAACAACAACAAAAAAAAGGGCGAAGGACTTGAATTGACATTTTCCCAAAGACGATATCCAAATAGCCAACAAGCACATAAGATGTTCAATAAATCAAAGGCTGTTCAATGTAAATCAAAACCACAGGATACCACTTCACATCCATGAGGATGGATATAGCAAAACATAAAATAACCGGTGTTGGTAAGGATGTGGAAAAATTGGAAAAACTCTCACACATTTTTGTTGGGAATGTAAAATGGTTATTCGCTGTGCAACAGTTTGGTGGCTCCTCAAAAAGTTAAACAATTACCATATGAGCCAGCAATTCTACTCCTAAGTATCTACCTAAACGAGTTGCAGAGACTCAAATACTTGTACATGAATGTCATAGCAGCACTGTTCACATAGCCAAAAGATGGAAACCCAAATGTCCATCAACAGGTGAATGTGTAAACAAATTGTAGTAGATCCATACAATGTGCTATTATTATTCGGCCATAAAAAGGAAATACTGATACATGCTGACCCTCAAAACCATTGTTAAGTGAAAGAAGCCAGACACAAAAAGTCATACATTTTATGATTCCTTTTATATGAAATATCCAGAATAACTAAACCTATAAAAATAGAATGCAGATTGATAGACACCAGGGGTTGGGGGTAGGAGGGAAGATTGGAAATAACTGTTTAATGAGTAGAGTTTGTGTGTGTGTGTGTGTGCATGCACGCGTGTGTGAAATTCAATAAAGAACTCTCAAATATCAGTGAGAAAAAGAGCCATCCAACAGCCAAGAGATCAACAGGATATGAACAGGCAAGTCATAGGAATGGAATTTCCAAAATGTAGGTAAATACAATAGAATGGTATTCAGTCTTAAAGAAGAAGGATGTTCTGACACATGCTATGATGTAAACTGTGAGGACATTCTAAAATAAGCCAGACACAGAAAGACAAATACTGTGTGATTCCACTTCGATAAGGTCCCTAGAAGAATCAACTTCATAGAGACAGAAAGTAGATGGTGGGCAACAGGAGCTGGGGAGAGGGAGAAATGGGGTCATTTAATGGGTATGGAGTTTCAGTTTTGCAAGATAAAGAGTTCTGGAGGTTAGTTACACAACAGTGTGAATATACTTAACATTACTGACCTGCACCCTTAAAAATAGTTAAGATTGGAAAAAAAGAAAAAAAACAACAGAACAAAAATAAATAAAAAATTAAGATGGTAAATTTTGTTATGTGTATTTTTGCCACAACTTAAAAAAAATGGAAAAGTCAGTAAACTAGGAATAGGGGGCACTTCCTCAACTTAATAGAGAACATCTACCCCAAAAACCTTACAGCTAACATCATACTTAATGGTGAGAAACTCGAAGCTTTGCCACTAAAATCAAGACAAGGCAACAATGTCCCCTCTCATCATGCCTTCCCACGTCGTACTAGAAGTCTAGCTAACGCAACAAGACAAGAAAAGGAAATAAAAGAGATACAGATTGGAAAGGAAGAAATAAAACTTTGTTCATGGATAATATGATCATCTATGCAGAAGACAAAAAAACACCTACCGAAAACCCCTTCTGGAACTAATGTGCCATTATAGTAACATTGCGAGATACTAGGTTAATACACAAAAGTCAATTTCCTATGTACCAGCAATTACAAATTGGCATTTGAAATTA